TATAGAGAACATTTGGCACATCATAAAGAGGAAGGTGTGACAAAGAAGGCCCAAGACGATTGAACAGTTAGAGGCCTGTATTAGACATGAATGGGAGCGCATTCCTATTTCTAAACTTGAGAAACTGGTCTCCTCTGTCCCCAGACGTCTGTTGAGTGTTGTAAGAAGAAGGGGGGATGCCACACAGTGGTAAAAATGGACGTGTCCCAACTTTTTGGGGATTTGTTGATGCCATGAAATGTGGAAACAACAGATCTTTCCCTTAAAATGATACATTCTCTCAATTTAAACATTTGATCTGTGATTTGTGTTCTATTCTGAATAAAATATTAGATGTTGGCACCTCCACATCATTGCAATCAGTTTTTATTCACAATTTTTTTAGTGTTCCAACTTTTTTGGAATTCGGTTTGTATGTCTACAAATCACTGAACAGTTTTGCGCATTTGAGTCTGGGTACTCGTACAAACAGAAGTTTTTCCCAGTTTATAGAAACCCAGGTTAGCAGGTGTAACACTTGTGTTTTGGTCTGTGCAACGGCTTTCTAACTGGACCGAGCTAATAAGAACCTATCGTCCAGATAAAAAGATTTCTCATTCCTGCCATGAGTAACGATTGCAGAGCTGTCTCCATGCATTTCGAGAACGTGCATGGGGTGTTTAGAATGATGGAAATGTGAAATAAGCGCTCTTCAGATCTATGAGGGTGAAAACCAGTCGTTCTGGTGAAGTTCTCCAGCAGCTGTTGGGAGCTCTGGAAAACATGTTTTCCGTCAGAAATTCCTGAACTTCTGACTGGAGAGACGAGCTCTGTTCTGGAGAAGACAGAACCGTCTCTATAATCCCTCTGAACGGTGGCGGTTGAGCTGCGAACTGTAGCGTGTAACCCCTTCTGATCAGACGGTCCGTCCATCTGTCCAGGGAGCACACTCGCTGCAACACTGAGTAGCACTCGGAGAGCAGGCACGCATTGTGTTGTGTCATGTTCTCATGGAGGTCAACCATACTAAAAAATCCTTACTGCCATCACTCGCTCCGGAGATTCTCCAGGGGAACCCAATGGGGGCTCCGACAGAAAAAGACTGGCTGTGTGCCTCTGTGCTGGGACCAGGCTGCGGTCTCACATAGAGCTGAAGTGAGCAGTCGTGCACCGAGAGGAGGCGCGAGCGCTTTCTGAGTGAGACGCCGTTTCGGTGGAGGCTGCAGCTGTCGTGGAGAAATACGTTTACTCCCGCTGTGCTGTGAGTGGGCAGAAAACAGCAGAAATTAAAAATAGGCTCTGGCTGAAAAAGGGATTTTACCAGACTCGGTCTGCAGAAAAAACATCATTTTAGCTGATGTGGCAGACGAGTGTTGTGATAGTTACTGAACTGCGGTGCCTTTTAAAATGCTGTTTAGAGGTTACCGGCTCGTTGTGTGGGGAATGTGTGAAGAGAGGTAGCTGAGAGATCAGTTGATCTGACAGACTCGGATGAAAAAACTTTCAGAGGTGTTTCTGTTTTATATCAAAAACATACATCATCAAAAAACACATACCTTCCCCTCAAGGATCTGTTACCTGGTGGAGGGGGCCAGTGGAGGGGCGGGGTGTGAAGTCACTGCCGCAGCTGTGGAGCGCCTCTGGTGCTGTTGCTGGCCAAGGCGGTCCCTCCAGTGGCCGGAGTGGCATATGGACTGAGACGTCACCAGATGGTGTACAATCTGAGACCTCCTCGGACCTCTGCAATTCCTCAAGGATGGTCCTGAAGTTGGCCCCAAACAGTGCCTCTGGGGTGATGGGGCCCTCCAGCAGGTCTTTCTGCAGCCTCTTGGATACGGATGACGAGAGGCAGAGCCAAGTGGTCCTCTGGATCATGGTCATTCAGGCGGCGATGCGGGACAGGCAAATCGCAGAGGTGGAACATGTTTAAGATGGCATCAGCAGCTTTACAAAGAGAGCTCTTTGTCTCCTCCAGCAGGTTTGCTTCTTCCAGCCTCTTAGAGATGCCGTAGGCCAGCAAGGCGACGTTGTTGTTTGTTGCGGCCGTCTGGGATGATCACTGGTGAGCTCGGTTGGAGACTTTGTCACCATCTGGTCATGCTTCCCTGGAGGGACATGTTGTTGGTCTATCCTGTAAGCGTTTTCCCCCCCCCCCCCCCGAGCCAAGCTTGGCGGGTGGCACTTGGGAGGGAAAACGCTTAC